ATGTTTGTCTGCTTACATCTTACCTCAGCTCGCATTCAAGTGGCGCGCAGCTCAGCTCTGTGAACAGTGGGCCGCGCGGGCCATTCGTCTGGGCCGATGGACGGATATAGCCAAAAGCAACATCGGTCAAGGGAAGCGCAGACCAAGAAGTATGTAGGCCTATAATATTCAGCAGCGAGTAGGAAATGGAAGAAGTGTTTTTAGGAATAGGTAAGAAGATACAATTATTTCTCGCATCCGAATAGGGCATACTAGTTTAAATCAATCTCTGTTTAATATAGGAGAACATGAAACAGGTCAATGTATTTATTGTAATCAGGCAGAAACAATAGAGCATGTTTTAATAAAATGTAAAAAATATGAAAAAGAAAGGTTAAAACTCATTAAGGAAGTAAGAAACATGGGTGTTGAATCATTTAATTTGACAAACCTTTTGAAAAACAGAACAAGGTAAAATATATGGTGCTATTATAAAATATATCAAAGAAATAGGATTAATCAGGATTATTTATTTATGTTTTATTATTATTATCATCATTAGTTGTTCGTTAGTGCTTCACACTCCAGTCCAGTTGGTGGCGGAAAATGCACCATAAGTTGGTTTGCCAGCCGCCATAAAACGTCATTAGAAGAAGAAGGAAGCGCAGAGTCAATCCGGCGTTTAGGAGTGGAGGCGGAGGAACGCTAGATCGCAAACTAAAAAGAAATGGGAAAAATAAAGTTTGCCAAATACTTAAGTAACAGGAGTTTACTGATTTTTACTAAAGATAAACTACAAAGAGATACGTTTCTCCGTGCAGAAACGCTGAATGGAGAGAGAATCAGTAGAGAGAATTGGAATTAATCTTCAGTTTTGTTGGGTTCCAGCTCATACTGGCGTGGAGGGCAATGAGATAGCAGATTTGACTGCAAAGAATGCACTGAAATTAAAGGACGAGGAAATAATGAAAGTCCCATTTGGTAAAGGTGAGGCCAAATCATTAATTAAAACAAAAGTGAGAGAATCATGGCAGAAAAAGTGGGACATAGATAACAAAGGGCGATATTATTATAATATTCAGAAATCGATTAACGTCAAGGCTTTTAAAGGGAAATGCAGAAGAGAAGAAGTGATTATATCAAGATTAAGACTTGGACATACTGGTTTAAAATCAACCCTGTTTTTAATGGGAAAATGCATATCAGATAATTGTGATGACTGTAATGTTCCAGAAAATGTGGAGCATATCATTATGAGGTGTAAAAAATATAATGCAGAAAGGAGGATCTTGCAAGATAAGATATATGAGTTGGAACAAGAATGGAGTTTGAAGGGGATTTTGGGGGCAGATGAGAAAATGTGGGAATGTAGCAAGGCTCTCTTTAATTTTCTTAAAGATACAGGGTTAGAGCACAGCATATAGGAAATGGGATTTGTTTTTTTTGTTTTTTTAATGATTATAACCATGCTAAGTACATGAAGCCCTGAAGTTGCACACCCCGGTACAGTAGGTGGCGGTATGCACCTGACAAGTTGGTTGCGACCCGTCAATAAAACCAGAGAGAGAGAGAAAGGAAGCGCAGAGTCAGAGGCAGGGTATTTCTCACCAGCGTGTCAAATGATTCCTGCGCATGCCAGTTAAGCCATGTATCAGCAGATGATAGTACCTAATCACAGTCCATGTTAACTCTGAAGTCTTAAAAATGACGTTTTAGGATAATCTCTCAGTTGTTTAATAATTCTTGCTCATGATTATTTCTTTCTTTCGCAGGCTTCTATTTTGTCCTTGGTCACTAAGATTAACAACGTCATTGACAACCTCATCGTGGCACCTGGAAACTTTGAAGTGGTGAGAAGACATTTCAATAAGTTAATTTTCTTTCTCAATATTTTTGTAATACTAAATGTTTTTAATACTATACTTAACCAATGTTTAACAATTCCCAGCAAATTGAGGAAGTAAGGCAAGTGGGCTCGTATAAAAAGGGCACCATGACAACAGGACACAATGTAGCCGACCTCGTGGTTATCCTGAAGATTTTACCCACCTGTGAGTCTCATCATTTCATGAATTGAGATCTGCTTAGTTGTCTTAAAATGTTAATCACTAGCCCAAGTATGCTTCGTGTAACGATAAGTCTACCATTTTTTTTGTTTGTTCAGTGGAAGCTGTCGCTGCCTTGGGAAACAAAGTAGTTGAGACTCTGCGTACACAGGACCCTTCTGAGGGTGAGTATGAGTATAATCTGGCAGGCCAGTCAGAGCATAGAGGAGAAAAAATAATTTGTAATCAAAATATGGAAAAAAAAAAAACACTGAAATGCATTCCCCTGTTGTCTTTAGTACTGTCCATGCTGACCAATGAGACAGGATTTGAGATCAGCTCTGCCGATGCCACTGTGAAAATCCTCATCACCACAGTTCCACCCAACCTGCGCAAATTGGACCCAGAGCTCCACTGTATGTCATATTCAAACACTTCAGCTGTTTATCACATGTATTGCTCTTACAAATTAGCTTCTCTTAGCTTATCTATACCATTGTTCTTTTCTCTTTTTATTTCTTTCTCATTATTGTCAGTATTGGATATTGTGCACACTGATTTAGCCTATTTTTACATTTGCTATCATCTAATGCTCATTAAGAACACTAATAATTTAATGACACTTAAAAGTAATAATCAAATCTTAAAATAAATATCCTTTTTTCATACTGTACATTAATGTTGTGATGCTTAAATTCACTTGTCTCATTTAAAATGGTTGATTTTTAGTGGTCTATTTAGTCTACATTCGTGCAGAACTTTAATATCTGGCATTTATCGATTATCTGTAATCGGGGTCGACCAGAATTGTAAAGTTTAATTTTTCCTATTCCTTTTGCAGTGGACATCAAGGTTCTGCAAAGTGCTCTGGCAGCCATTCGTCACGCTCGCTGGTTTGAGGAAAATGCTTCTCAGTCAACGTAGGGACACTTTCTCTTAATGGCTTTAATGAATTAAATGTGTTTTGTGGCTTACTTTGGTTTCTATCTTGACTCAGTGTTAAAGTTTTGATCCGCTTGTTAAAAGACCTGCGAGTCCGATTCTCTGGATTTGAGCCTCTCACGCCCTGGATTCTAGATCTGCTGGTGGGCATTATTTTTGGAGTTTAACTCTATCTACTCTATTCTGCACAACACCAGTTGATTTACCTGTAATGTTGCTCTCTTCACAGGGACACTCTGCTGTGATGAACAACCCCTCTAGGCAGCCCTTGCCACTCAACGTTGCTTACAGGTTTGTTTTGCTTGTGACAATGGGCATCAAACTTCTTGTGGATTTTGAGGTATAATGAGCATGTGTGTTGCAGGCGCTGTCTTCAGATGCTTGCCGCAGGTCTTTTCCTGCCAGGCTCTGTCGGAATCACTGATCCGTGTGAAAGCGGAAACTTCCGTGTGCACACTGTCATGACCCTGGAGCAGCAGGTAATGCAGACTTCAGTCAGCAGGTAATGCACCAAATTCAGTGTTAAAAATACAGGTAATCTGATTGATTTGTTTCTGCAGGACCTGGTGTGTTTCACAGCCCAAACACTGGTGAGGGTTCTCTCTCATGGAGGATACCGAAAGATCTTGGGCCTTGAAGGAGATGCTAGTTGTGAGTGTTTGAGGTTTATTCCAGATTAAATTAATTTATGTAGTTGCCTTTGAGTGTCTGTGTCGCTGAGGCTAATGTTTGTGATGCTTATCTGCAGATCTCACCACTGAGATGTCTACATGGGATGGAGTGATTGTCACCCCATCTGAAAAAGCTTATGAGAAACCCCCAGAGCGCAAGGAAGAGGAGGATGAGGCGTTGGAGGAAGGCGGAGAGGGGGAAGATGAAAGCATGGAGACCCAGGAGTAATGCAGTGGTCTCTGACGTTTTGGCTTGGTCATTTTATTTATGTTTGTTTTTATTAAGAGATCTGCGTCTCATATCTATAAGTTTTACCCAGAGGTCCCCTGCATATCTACATTTGGGTTCTGTACATCAGTCTGCACTTCCTGGAGTTAAAGCCATGGTAGTAAACAGCGAAAAGCTATAACAAGGACCAAAAGACAAGGGCTCATTATTCTATCTTCTAACCTCAGCTCATTCTGATATGGTTATGTCTAGGAAAAGGACTGAAAATCACTTTTAATTTGGTTTCATTTTTTTTTTTTTTTTTCAATTTGTATTTTTATCACTGATGGATCAAGTAAAGTTTTTATTTTTCCTTTGTACTATGTTTGTTTTTTTTCTTCTTTTTCCTAATGACAATTTATTTTAATTTTTTTTGTATTGCTTGGGTATTTTTAGGTTGCACACAGTCCTTTTACTGTGATTGATGTTGCATTGATCTTGGACAAGTACTTTAATGGATAATTTACCCAAAAATTAAAATGAGGTTCGTTTACTCCTCAAGCACCTGTGCTTGAACTTTACCACAGTCAAAAAATGAGAGGCTAGAAAGAATATCTTCATTTGTTTTCTGAAGATAAATGTAAGTTTGTGTGTGGAATGATTTGATGGTGAGTAAATGACTTAAATTTTCATTTTTGGGTACAGTATCTCACAAACAATTGTTCTAAATGCCGTCCAAATATGCTGTTATTCAGACCAACAGCAGCATAACTAGTATGGGGTTGCTTTTAGACAAGGATTCAATAGAATTTTAATATTGAACTCACATTTTAAAGCGACACCATGTAGTTTTTTAACCTTAAAATAATGTCTCTAAAATTATTTCAGTGGTAGAACACCTCTTTTACCGGACGAATTCTACTGCCGCGGCTACTTGAGCAGCCTCCTAGCCACTAGAACCACACTAAGTTTTGTGTTCGGGTCGGAACACACAGCCCCGCCCATCCCCTGCCAGCGGAAGAGTGCGACCTGCTTTATATATTACTATATTAATATTATATATTACTCATAGCTAGGGATGGGCGTTTTAAAAGGATCAACTCCGTACAGGCAAGCAGACGAGCCCAGAACGCAATGCGTTAAATTGCACGTTAAAAGTTTTCCTCCCATAGAAAATCATTATAAATAAAACATTTAATGTAGCGTAATGGACAAAGAAAAAAATAAAGACTGCAAGTGACATCGCTAGCGGAAGTGCAAGTGTGAGAGTGCAAGCCTGAGAATGCACGTCCGAGAGTGCAAGTGCAAGGCTGCAGCCAGACGCTTTTGCATAGCCTGGGTGGAGTTGGCCAGCAGCTAACTATAAGACGAAACGATCTAATATGCAAGTCTCAAAACCAACGCCGTGGCAGAGCAAATTACACCCTTTGCAAACAATGCTACATATGAACTATGCGAGCAAAACAACTAGGCAAACATACCATTCTTTTTGTCATTGTAGTTTTCAATTTTGGAGTAACACTAAATAAAAAAATGTGTAATGATATTTAAGAACATAGTGTAACATGGGCTACTTTACCTGGTCGGTGGACATGGTTTCCAAATTTGATTTTTTTTCCATTGGCCGGTTCCGTCAGCTTAGTCAACTGCCCACGGGCAAGCTTATACAGCGACAGTATTTATGACACTGGTAACAGACAATTGCGCTTATCAACCACATGACCCTTACACAGCGACAGTATTTACGACACTGGTAACAGACAATTGCGCTTATCAACCACATTGGGGAACTGTGAGCAAATGTTACATGGTGTTAATTGCTTTAAACACAATCTTGTCAATTGCCTTCTTCTCTACCAATGAGATATGCCCAGCTGTTTACCCACAACGTTGTACGTGACAGCGGTTTCAGGACAGCAGGGCTGGACCAGAAGTCTCAGATTGAAGTTAGGGCAAAACTGATGATCACCTGACCCGCCTCCACCACTAATCCTAACTTCACTACAATTATAAACTCCACCCTAGAGAATGCCTATCCCCTCCTTATCGCTAACCTCTGTAATGCTATAATATCCACACTAACATCTGGTCTGAAACTCCTGTCCTGAAATCGCTGTCACAGATGGCGCTGTGGGTTTGCAGCTGAATACTATAGAACCAATTACAATGGTTCCAAACGTCATCAAAGCAAAATCAGCCGTCTATGGGCAATACACAGTAGTGACATTTTTAAATGAATCTGTGTTTTCAACAAATGGTTGATGAGTGATTCAATGACACGCTCACAAGCAGATGTGTCCGCTAAAGGGGCGTTCACACAGGACTATGACTATAGTGTAATCGTTCTAATCCTATGAGAATAGGGAAGTCCACACGACAGCCATAATGATAATAGCACAGGAATGATACATCGTGTACTTCCCTATTAATATAGTTGGGCGAAAAACAGTATGTGACGGTGTATGTCCGAATTTACAGTTGTCATAAAAGAGTAGGCAAAAAGTACCTGGATGACCTACTACTTCTGGCGTGATTCTGAAGTGTGCATGTGATGGACACTTTACTATCCCATGAGGCCACAGGAGATGATCTATGAATGGTAGTGACGCAACAACTGACGCTGGTAGGTCATGTAGGTCAATCACTTTCAGATTTGTTTTTTTTCTATTGACAGACAATCAGAATACACCAGAGCATGTAAGGCCAATAGACCCTTTTCACAGACTGTGATGATGCATTTCATCAGTAATCGGCATCGTAAATTCTCCAATGTTTGTACATACATGTATGTACATTTATACCAATATATTTTGTATGATAATACCTTTAAAAATAGTTAACGCTGCGATGAGGGTGTGACGGTAAATTTGACATTGTTCTCTCTTTGCACTGCCGTGCAGTTTTGGTTTTTTTTACCTACTAAAATGACGACTTCAGCGGCAGATGATCCTGATTAAGCGTGCGTTTAAAATAAAGAGAACCTTAAGGTCTGTTGGTGTGGACAGTGATATAGTCCATTCAGGGCCGTCCTTAGCTGACATGGGGCCCGGTGCAAGGTAGGGAGTGGGGCCCCCCTCAAGTTTTTCAGTTGTACCCCCCTAAGCACGGCCCTGAGTTCACTTTCCTGCTTTAAACGGAACTTAAGACTTATGTGAGTACATTTTAAACAGACTCTTTATGAAAAAGCCTGTTTAATTATGAAAAATTATGAAAACATATTTAATAAAAATACTGAGTGCACCTGTACAATGGATAAATTCTTCTGAAATGTTATGAAGAAAATAACAGGACACTAAGTGGACAGCAGTTATTTTACCTTGCTAAAATAGCTTTATAGTAATTTTTAGAAAATGTTTACAACCGTTGACAATATTACATTCTGTGTTTAGGTTTACCACATCACAGTGTGCCATCTCCGATTTAATGCTAGTAGTGAACATCTCAGTGGCCAAAGACTAAACCCGATCCATGTATACTCAAGCTGTGCCATTGTTCATCATAAGGCCTTCACCCTTTAGTCGCAACAAATGGTAAGAGTTTCAGATTTACTTCAAATCTGGAAATAATATATTGAAAAAGGTGAAGTTGTAAGCTATTGCAGTTTGGTAAAACAATGTAAAAAGCATAGATACAAAATCAACTTATTTTACCTTGGCACTGTATCAAACATAAATATATGAAACAAAAAATACAACAACCGTAAATAGTGATGACATTAATAATCAAATGTTCTTATAATGCAGTGTTATGAGCAACTTAATGAACATTTAAAAAAGAACATAATTGTTTTGCTACATCACAAACTGGCCAAACATTTATATTTATATATAGTCTTTTTTTTCCCCCATGAAGAACGGGGAATACTCATTCTTCAGATCTACATGTTCATTTGACGTTTTCTATATTGTAATATGTTCCACGCAACTGCTAGAAGAGATGGGTCTAGCATTAGCTGTTATTTTTCAATTTGTCTCATCTTCCACTGGGCTATTTTCTACATTAGCAGCAATTACAAACAATAGAATACATTCTAAATCAGGTGGCTTTTTACACATGAACACCCTGGAGAATACAGAATAGATTTTATCATAGTCATAATTGCAATAACATTTTTTCATTATACAGTATTTCACAGAAGTGAGTACACTCCTCACATTTTTGTAAATATTTTATTATATCTTTTCATGTGACAACACTGAAGAAATGACACTTTGCTACAATGTAAAGTAGTGAGTGTACAGCTTGTATAACAGTGTAAATATGCTGTCCCCTCAAAATAACTCAACACACAGCCATTAATGTCTAAACCGCTGGCCACAAAAGTGAGTACACCCCTAAGTGAAAATGCCCAAATTGGGCCCAATTAGCCATTTTCTCACCCCGGTGTCATGTGACTCATTAGTGTTACAAGGTCTCAGGTGTGAATGGGGAGCAGGTGTGTTAAATTTGGTGTTATCGCTCTCACTCTCTCATACTGGTTACTGGAAGTTCAACATGGCACCTCATGGCAAAGAACTCTCTGAGGATCTGAAAAAAAAGAATTGTTGCTCAACATAAAGATGGCACAGGCTACAAGAAGATTGCCAAGACCCTGAAACTGAGCTGCAGCACAGTGGCCAAGACCATACAGCGGTTTAACAGGACAGGTTCCACTCAGAACAGGCCTCGCCATGGTCGACCAAAGAAGTTGAGTGCACGTGCTCAGCGTAATATTCAGAGGTTGTGTTTGGGAAATAGACGTATGAGTGCTGCCAGCATTGCTGCAGAGGTTGAAGGGGTGGGGCCAAACACACCTCCAAGACGACCACTGCCTTGCTAAAGAAGCTGAGGGTAAAGGTGATGGATTGGTCAAGCATGGGCATCCTCAAACGGAAGGTGGAGGAGCGCAAGGTCTCTAACATCCACCAGCTCCGTGATGTCGTCATGGAGGAGTGGAAGAGGACTCCAGTGGCAACCTGTGAAGCTCTGGTGAACTCCATGCCCAAGAGGGTTAAGGCAGTGCTGGAAAATAATGGTGGCCACACAAAATATTGACACTTTGGGCCCAATTTGGACATTTTCACTTAGGGGTGTACTCACTTTTGTGGCCAGCGGTTTAGACATTAATGGCTGTGTGTTGAGTTATTTTGAGGGGACAGCAAATTTACACTGTTATACAAGCTGTACACTCACTACTTTACATTGTAGCAAAGTGTCATTTCTTCAGTGTTGTCACATGAAAAGATATAATAAAATATTTACAAAAATGTGAGGGGTGTACTCACTTCTGTGAGATACTGTATATTAAATTATTAATAATACCAGTAATCATCAACAACCCATTTAATATTAATAACAACTTCAATTGCAACAGATATATTTACTGTACATAATACAACAGAACGTGAGAAGGTATTTTAATTACACAGTAATTGTTTGTAAGTCTATGACCCATTTAATTTCCCCAACGTAACGTCTACGTCACACTGCTACAAGCTCCTCTGTGCTACGAAGAAATATTCATCACTAACTCTAGCTAAATCGGTTTACGGCATATATAGAGGCTTCGCCAACACTTCTTAGACTCGTTTTTCAGCTTAAAGGAGCAATGGCAGAATTTCAGCCATCCATTCTGACCTATTAAGACACGGTTGTCTCTCAAGAACCAACACAACATACCATCGGGTGATTCGGGTCATGTGTTGACATGGGAAGCTTTACATGATGTAGCGAGAGACACAGCCATTAAATATCGTATTTGATTAGTTTCCATCAATCCATTTACATTGGAAAACGTTGTTTAGAATAGAAAGGCCATCAAAATAGTCTTTCTGATCAGTCCGTTTGAGTGTCAGATTCCTGTCAGTGCCTGAGAAGGCAAACAACATGGCAAGGGGAAAATGTGGTCTTGCTTGAAATTAAGTTTCGTTGGTATATCAAAAACATATGGCCCTGATAAGAGATCATCCTATTTCTCGCACTGGAAACCCCAACGGCAAGTTGTACATATAGTCTTTCAGTGTTTTGAGAAGGCAGGAAGTCCTTCACAGTGGAAGAGGAATAAGTCTGTTGTGCTTTTCTGTCATCCTAGACTTGCTGCGTCCAAAAAATGTGTACGTTGACTGTGATTACAACCATTTTGATGCTTAAAAAAGATGTATTCATAAAATGATGGATATATTATCCATAAAGTATCCATAAAATAAATAATATATAAATAAAAAGAGATGATAGGCAACAGTAAATGAAAAAAGTGCAAATGTCTGAAAAAACTGTTTGAAAAAATTGTTGAAATCAAATGAGTTTAGATACAGAAATGTAGGTGTAGTTATTGTAAATAATTAGATAAATACTCCTGCCCCTTTTTTTTCCAGACGGGATAAAGATCTACAGTTTTGAGAGAACCGTTTGTTCTTTTTTTTCATGGATTAATAAATGCATGCAGGTTACATAGAAACATCCAGTGTGTGGTGGTTATTAGCTGGATCAGGTGTGACAAATCAAATTATTAGAACAATATATATTGTGTGAGTTATATATTTTTTATTGAATATAATACTGAATAGCTAGATTTTAAAAAGCCACACATAGTGCTGTTAGGCACGTGTAGATAGTCAAGACATAGAAAACAGATATTTTTTGCCCATGGACAACATGGCAAGTGGCTTTCAACCATATATTCTTTTGTCAAAAAGTCTTTAGCCAGTCTGTTTCAAGTTTGACAAAAGAAATAAGAGGAAAGCAACACGATTCCGCTGAAGTTTGCTGCGGTGAGTTGCCCAAAGTCATCTTTAAAGTCCACTGAGCTGTCACATCCCTACCTTGTAAATTCTTAGACACTTTTATAACATATTTTAACACCACTTTTGACAACGTTTATCTGCTAATCTAAAAATTTACTTTATAAAATATACATCTCCCAATCAAATATTTTTCCAACTTATTCCATAGTTAAATACCCCCCCCCCAAAAAAAAAAAGTTTAGATCATTCATGCAATCAACCTTTTCCTTTAAACAAAAAAAAAATAGATGGAGTTTGCAAAAATTATTGTGTGATCTTGTTTCCAGTTTGCTTTCACCCAATTGAGAAGTTGAATGCACACAAACACATAATCCATTCTTCCTATCACATATGTTCATTAATGTTTCAATCAATAATCAATAACCAACCAATTAACATTTGGTGTGAAGTGGACACTGATTTTTTTTTTTCTATAAAATAATCTGAAGTATATTATTTTGTTTTTAAGTGTTTTGAGATAAGTTGTGGAAAATGGAACTGAAACTAACCAGAAGGAAACGTTATTTAATTAATTTCCTAATTTCTCAAAAAAAAAAACAGAAACAAAATAAACAAGCAATAAAAAAATAAAATAAACAATAAATTAAAGCACTCAGGCAAAATATAGAAGCTACACTGATTTCATGTTAGAGGGTTTTCATCTGTTACAAAAAAGGCAGAGGGGTGAAATGAACAAGATGTTTCCCCTCCTCTCTGAATCATTTTTCAGTGTGCAGGTCAAGTGTGAAATTGTTTGAAGATTGTCTACTGCACCCCTGTTTCTGAAGTGTCTTATGATGTAGACCGTACTGTTTCAGGAAACATGGCTGTTGCCTCAGAGCTTTCTGTTGTGTTTTTTCTTTTTTTCTCTCATCTTTTTTTAAGAAGTATGTCTTTGCATTGGGCTAATGAAAAGCCTGAATGCAATTGCAAAGTGATATTGCACTATACGGGAGATGAATCCCTGTGGTAATTTGATCACTAACTTTAAAAAGGCATTTATCTATACTGCAAAAGTTGCTCTCAGGGGTTTTACTACTGTACTGCTAAAACGTTCAGTTTCAGGCCCAAATTTACATCAGGGAGCATTGCTCTACTCTGGCCACAAGAGTGCGCTTGTGTCACAGTGAAAGTGGCTACGCCGCACTGTGGCATCAATTACGAAACACATACACAGCCAAGATTATATCAAAACAAAGTCTATTATTTAAAATAACAAGATAAGATCTTCTTAATATATGATATTGCACCCGTATGTGATGGTGTGTTTCATTAAAACAGTACTAACATTTTTATATATTGTGTAGACTTACAAAAGTCTCAATCTTGTAACACTTGGTTGTGCTGGTTGAGCCCTTTTTCTGAGAATAATAACACTTGCTCAACAAAAAAATTTAAATAAAATGCGTAAACTCACATCCATACACCAGCAGCATACTAGTAAGCCATCTCAAGTTCCCCATCAGTGAGTAATTGCACTCGCTCTCTGGCTGCTTTGTAACTTGGACGTCTGTGCAGAGGGCCAGAGAAGAGCCGCAGTGGTTGTTTAAGGGGTTCTGAAGTGGTCCAAGTGACTCAGAGTCTCGTCTGAGCCTCTGTGATGTAGATCTCAATGCTGTCAGCACTCTCTGTGGCAGAATTCTGGCGGAAAGAGGCTGAGCGTTTGGTCTGGAGCAGCCTGCGCCGTGTTTCCAGCTTCTGGCGGTCGCCTACATCCAACGATTTCTCCCGTTCGGGAACACTACGTCCTCGCGAGACCACTAGCATGCCTCCAGCCTCGGTCGTGCTGTCAGCACGAAGGCTGCCCATCACGCCACCGACTGGTTTCTTTGGTAATGGAGGTGGAACCTTCTTGTCCTCCTGAGAGGAAGAGCAGGGGAGTGGCGTGACAGCATGGATGACCAATGCGGGATGGATGGGAATGCAGGGAAAGACACCGAAAATGCACACGTGCAAGCAGAGGATGAAGACCAGGACATGTACGGAGAAAGGACAGCACCATGAAGTTGCAACATAAGAATGATTTGGATTAGTGTATTTAGGATGAGACATGACATTGTGGAAGCAGCAGACAGTAAAAAGAAAGAAAACAGAGAAATTAGTTACAGATTTGTTTGGGTTTAATATCTCAAAGCAAACGAACAGCTCTTTAGGCAGTAAATCATGCATGTCTTGTTTTTTCTAGTTTAGTTCCTTTTCTTGCTGAGGTGTTTGTGTGATGGCAGAGAGCTGCTGGGACCCAGCACACGGGCGGTTCTCCTGCTCGCTGCTGTTTTGGCACTGGAGTGGAGCTGTGCAGTGACTGGAGCAGAGCGGATCTCCACTCTCACCTTCTTCTCAGGAGGCAACCTCCAGCCCGATTCCTTGAGCCGCTGGAGGTCCTGAAACTTCACCCTGACATCCTCGATGGCTAACTGGAGGAGGTCCCAATAACTGGCCAGATCCTGAGTGCTGGGCTGAGGGTATGATGAAGGATCCTATGAGAAGAGGGGGGATATTAGAGTGCTGCAGGGATGACATATTTTTGCAGGCCAAAACCTGGAAACGAGTTAGCATTTAAGCACTTCCAGTTCCATTTTCCCGAAGTCAGTGTTTTTTTTTTATGTGCTTAATGGGGTTAAATGCCTGAAATAAGGTCTGAGATACAGTAAGCCTAAGATATTTCACATTTTATTATATGACATAAAATACATTAGTAATGTTATTTTTACGTTTTTTACTTGAAAAAGGCAATTGCTAACAAGTGGCTAAATGGGGCTACAGATGCTGAGACATTACCTAGTGGGCAATTGATGTTGAAAATATGTCAGTTTGACGTAAAAACAACAACAAAACAAGTCAAATATGCAAACTGATGTCAAAAACTTGACATTGATCTGATGCGAATTGAACGTCAAACATATTGGCCTACATATATAAAACCAATTTCAGTGTGGGATTAACTTCCTATTTTCTTATTATCAAGGTGCCTGCTGGGTAAACATCACACCAAACAGGTAAACTCTGGGGTTCCCTCTGGTGGCAGCCGGGGGCGCCCTTTTTCTGTCAGTTGGCGGACTGGTCTTACGGTCACAGAAAGGAATTCCCCTCTGGGGATGCCCCATCCCGCCGGCACTCCGAAACCAGTGGAGCTCTCGAAAGAGCAGGCTGGACCCTCCCGGGGGGTACCACCTGTTTCCTCCGAGGCTCCCCCCGACGATCAGATGTCGATTGCAGCATTGGAGGGTGAGCCAGACTTTTCTGGGGATGAAGATCCGTCAGCGTTGCCGCCCTCTGGGCGGCCAGCGGTGCCAGATACAGACCCGGAAATGATGGCTATGCTTTCCCGGGCCGCCGAGAGTGTCGGGCTCGAGTGGAAACTTCCACCGCGTCCCGAACCCTCAAGGTTGGACGATTGGTTTCTCGGGGTGGCTCGCGCTGGTTCTCAGGGCCCCACC